CTAGTCTTAGAGGAGTTAAGGGGTGAAATCGATGGTTCCCCACCGAGTGCTCAAGTAGATACATCACATAATACTGCAACACGGCACAGTGAGAGTGTACCAGTGCAGACAGTGCCTCGTCGCAGTGGGAGGGTTTCTCATTTACCCGACCGATGGATAGATCTTGGAGAGTCATCGGACTCAGTTCCAGGAGGCCTAGAATCGGACCCAAGAACTTACGATGAGGCACTCCAAGATAAAGATGCAGATTCATGGAATTTTGCAATGAAAGCTGAAATGGGATCAATGGACTCCAATCAGGTCTGGGATCTTGTAGAACCACCCGATGGGGTGCGACCCATTGGATGTAAGTGGACCTATAAGATAAAGAGAGGATCGGAGGGGAAGGTGCAAACCTTCAAAGCTAGGCTTGTTGCGAAAGATTATACCCAGATCGAGGGTATTGATTATGATGAGACCTTTTCGCCAGTAGCTATGCTTAAGTCCATTCGGATTCTCTTGGCTGTAGCCGCTCATATGGACTATGAGGTCTGGCAGATAGATGTCAAGACAGCTTTCCTTAATGGGAACCTGCAGGAAGACATCTATATGCAGCAACCAGAGGGATTCATTGCTAAAGGTTGTGAGCATCTAGTGTGTAAGCTTAATCGGTCTATTTATGGACTGAAGCAAGCTTCCAGATCTTGGAACATCCGTTTTGATGAGGTGATCCAGTCGTACGGGTTCACTCAATGTCCGGATGAGCACTGTGTTGACAAGAAAATCAGTGGGAGCGTGGTGGTGTTTCTTGTGCTTTACGTAGATGACATACTGCTTATTGGAAACAATAAGAAGGAGTTGTCAGACATAAAGGTGTGGTTGTCTTAGCAGTTTGATATGAAGGACTTAAGTGAACCATGACACATTCTTGGTATTAGGCTCATTAGAGACCGTAAGAAGAGAATGTTGTGCTTATCCCAGTCTTCATACATAGATACTGTCTTGGCCAGATTTAGCATGCAGGATTCCAAGAAAGGTATGTTACCTTTCAGACATAGAATACCTCTATCTAAGGAAATGTCTCCTAAGACGTCTAAGGAGATAGAGGAGATGAAGACAGTTCATTATGCTTCGGCAGTAGGAAGTCTCATGTATGCGATGCTGTGCACTAGACCGGATATTAGCTACACCGTTGGCATGGTAGCTAGATATCAAAGTAATTCGGGACGGGAACATTGGTCTGCGGTGAAGCATATACTCAAGTACCTGAGAAGGACTAAAGAGTACATGTTAGTTTACCGTGCAGGCAGCTTGTTACCTCTGGGTTACAGTGATTCCGATTTCAAGTCAGATAGGGATGAAAGTAAGTCAACCTCAGGTTATGTGTTTACCTTGGGAAGTGGAGCCATTTCATGGAGGAGTGCTAAGCAGAAATGCGTGGCAGACTCCACCATGGAAGCCGAGTACATAGCAGCCTCAGAGGCAGCGAAAGAGGCAGTTTAGCTCAGGAACTTCTTAGTGAACTTAGAGGTTATACCAAGTTTGCCACGTGGTATCACCGTGTACAGTGATAACAATGGAGCAGTAGCGAACTCAAAAGAACCTCGAGCCCACAGGGCAAGCAAACACATAGAGTGCAAATACCATCTTATTCGGGATATCATTGGTAAAGGAGACGTTGATGTTTGCCAAGATTGCGTCAGGACAACCTAGCTGATCCTTTCATGAAGAGTTTGCCGGGGAAGGTCTTCGTCAAACACGTGGAAGGAATGGGAGTCATGAGCATGGCAATAGGATCGACATAGGTCTTTTACAATAACGGATTGATAGGATTATACTGTAAAAGCGAAAGCTTTAAGTATAAGTGGGAGATTGTTAGTGTTATATACTGAAAGCTTGTATTTGCATGTTATTACACATTTGCCCTTTATGAATGAGAATCGTGTTAGATTAAACAAGTTCTATGTTCTGTTGTTCTGCACTTAGATAGGGTGGGCCGTCATCTGGCGAACCAAAGATCACTCTATCAGTCACTTGCGAACAAGAATAGTTGTTCACAACCAAGATGAACATGAACACCCCATCCGAACGGTTGTAGTGTCAACTGTACAATTTGTCTTGACTGATTAGTTGCACTAGTGCATTTATGTATTGAACAGGATCCTAGAGCGGAGAAGTTCATTTTATATGATCGTCGTAAATGAACTAGACCTCGGTTAATTACTGAGTTCTCTTAACCCGTAAGATATTAAACAGGCAGATATATATAATATATATTACATTGATTCACATGGGTGAGGTTCAGTTCGCTGGATTAATATTCCTATTGTTTTGGGTAATATTGATATATATATATATATATATATATATATATATATAGCTGGATTAATATTCCTACTGTTTTGGGTTATATATATATATATAGGATGTGCTGTTAGGATATTTACGGTGACCATGTGCGTTAGTTTGATGATATCCCCAGAGTGAGTTCATGAAGGATTGTTATGCTAAACCCTGCAGGTGGATTAAGTTCCTGCATAATAAGAATGTGATGAACGAGCGCTAGCTTCGGTGAAATAATAATAAATTAATTAATTCTTGATTGTCAGTAATCGAATTAATTAATGGACATTATATCTTAAACATGGGGACGTAAATCGAGTAATTATTATTGGAGTCTCAAATGAAATTTGGGATAGGAAAAGGGAGTGCAATAATATAATGTTAGTGGCCCATTAATATTATTTAATTAATTAGAGGAATGGGCTTGGCCCACAGTTAGTCTAATTAATTAAGGAGCCCTTTTTCTAGTCTCATAAGGGTCCCTACTGTAGCTCTATATATAAATCATTAAACTCATGAGAAGAAAACAGAATTCCTATTCTAACGTGAGACGTCCCACGCCTCTCTCTCTCTCTAGATCTCATTCGAGCTTTATCTTCTTCTTGTTGCTCCACTGGTACAAGTTGTAGAAGGGTGTATTGAGTAATACAGTAGAATATGTGTAGGTAAACCGAGACGAAATATATTTTATCCTACAGAACTAACCGGATGTCCGATTGAGACGCACAGCATACCCAGGCGACTGTCTCGACGAGAGCTTTCCATCGCCGCCGAGATCGTTGCCATCGAACGCCGCACACGACCTCACGCGCCACCGGAAGCTCCCAGGCTGCAAGTTTCGTTTTGATCTGTTTGCATCCGTTTGATCTGTTTTTGATCTCATCTTGTTCGTGCAACCCAAGACGTGATTTGCGATCAATCAATTGCGGTCAGCCGTTCGTGGTCAACCAAATCTACATAAATTTTAAGCCTTAAGTTCTCTACTTCAAACCTTTAGATCCGCTGCACATATGTTTACGTTTGCTATTGAATTCGTGACTTGTACATAATGAGATCCTCACAGATCCCAACAAACTACCACTGCCATTTTCGACGAATTGCCGCCGTCCTTCGGCCGTTGTCTCCGTCGATCGACCACCAATTGAACCCGCCGTCAGCCATCCCTCAGAGGCGAGATTGAGAAGTTTAATTTGTCGAGTTGTGTGTGTAGGCTGAAATTAAAAGAACAATTGGGAATTGTGAGCAGAAATTTGGGAAGGGATGCAATTTTTCTTCAATCGGGCAGAATTTAGGAAGGAGAATTTAGAGAAATGGGGGTCTGCGGGAGAGAAGAAGGAAATGACAAAGAAAAAGGGGGAAAGTGAGAAAATGAGAAAATTTATTTGGGCTTTGTTTAGAATTTTTCCAAGTGTGCTTTTGGGCCTTCAACTAATTCAATGACTTAAGCTTGGGCTTTGTTTGTTGTTAATAATTCTAAACTATACTTTGTTAATAGATTCTCTCACATGGGAGCAAAAATTCTCTCACATGGGAGCAAAAATTCCTTCGGTGAATGATCTGTGATTTTATTCAAAAGTGTTTTGTGCAAGTAAGATTATTCAGAGTGAGTGAGTTTACGTATTCCTTGATAAGGATCGATCTTCATAACTCTAGGGTTCGGAGTTTCTCCTATGGGGGAACCATCGATGGGGAAGGCTAAAGGAGGGGATATGGCGGAAGGGCTTATAGGAAATTGCAAGCAAGGATTAGGATTGTAGGTCTCCTCCTATATATACTACATGCCCCTCTCTCCCATCTCATACGAAAATAAAGTTCTCAACATCAAGGACTTTATGGAAAGACAAGAGACGCGGGAGAGAGAAACAATTCAAAGACAAAGACAAATCCATCATTGGAGATTACGAGGAAGAGGAAGAGATCGCAAATCAACATCATAGATCAAGAAAACAGGGAATAATTCAAAGGCAAAGACAAATCCATCATTGGAGATTACGAGGAAGAGGATCAACATCATAGATCAAGAAAACAGGAAAGGACTATAAGCTGGATTCTTGTAAGTTTCTATGTGCAATTTAATTTATGCAAAGATCCATATTCTATGAACTGATAGAATTACATGCTTAGGGTTTATTCAATTTCGCTTAATATTTATGAATATGCCCGTTAAACTTCTTACAATCATATGATTTTACGTTGGAATATAATAATTTTTTTGTAGTGTATATTCAGCTGACTTGCTAACTTATTCGAAAAACTGCTCTCTAATTTGTAACTATATGTTTCATTTAAATAAAAATCTATCGTTTAAAAAAAAAAGAAAAAAAAAAGAATGAGGTTCGACGCTACCAAGCTAAAACTTTATGTCAAACTAATACAACTAATACTCCCTCCTATTTTTATTATTTGTCATCCTAACTTAATTGATCATTCGTTAAATAAATGTCGTTTTGGCTATTTTGTACATATTTTTCCATCATTACCCTCATCTAACTCATAAATACACTACGTCTTTTCATATTCACTCTCTATCTTTTCTCAAAACATCAATCTCTATTCTCATTAATGAGGGTTATTATTGATAAAAATAATATTTTTAATTATTATGCAACTTTTTAAAACTGACATTTATTAAAAATAGGAGGGAATAGAAATTCAAAGTATACAAATTTTACACCAATCAAACAAGCTGATCGAACTCCTTCAAATGGACAACACAATAAGTAGTCAGATACTATCATCATTACCTTACGTTAATGTGTGCTATTGACTTTTCCCAAGGCAGCATTATCCACATTTTAATTTCACACAAAACGCTGCGTTTCGAAACCGTCTTCACAGACTAGAGCACCGCTTTCCGCTTTATCTTCCTCTGCTTACATTGTACGCATTGGCTGTTCAAAGAGAAACCAAAGGCATTGAAAGCAGGTCAATTTTTTTTTTTCCTTGTTAGAAGAGGAAATGTCAACTTCAGAAGAGGGTCAAGTGATCGGCTGCCACTCGGTCGATCAATGGAAGGAGCTCTTTCAGAAGGGTGTGGATTCTCATAAACTGGTATTTCCTTTTTGTTTTCTT